GGCTTGTACGACTGTATAATGATTAGTAAGATAAACGTGTAAAAGGCTTGTACGACTGTATAATGATTAGTAAGATAAAGGAGTAAAAGGCTTGTACGACTGTATAATGATTAGTAAGATAAAGGAGTAAAAGGCTTGTACGACTGGTATCGTTTAGTAAGACCTGGCGAGCTGGATATGGTATCGTTTAGTAAGAACTGGCGAGCTGGATATGGTATCGTTTAGTAAGACCTGGCGAGCTGGATATGGTAGGGTTTAGTAAGACCTGGAGAGCCGGATATGGTATCGTTTAGTAAGACCTGGCGAGCTGGATATGGTATTGTTTAGTAAGACCTGGCGAGCCGGATATGGTAGCGTTTAGTAAGACCTGGCGAGCTGGATATGGTATCGTTTAGTAAGACCTGGCGAGCTGGATATGGTATCGTTTAGTAAGACCTGGCGATTGAACAACAATTTTGTTCGTAATTATGCACAAAGCTACACAATGGGCTATCTGTGCTCTATCCACCACAGGTGTCGAAACCCGGTTTCTAGCGTTGTAAGTCCGCAGACATACCGCTGTGCCACTGGGGGGGGGGCAGTAAACAACGACAATAAATTAATATCGAGTCACGAAGAGAGAAAGTCTGATGATAAGGGAGAAGGGGACCACGAAACCACTATTTGGTTAACAAAGAGGGGAGGAGGGGTCATCAAATAGCGTTGAATATAGGATAACTTATTCACAAATGTTATGAATATTTGATTAAACAAAGCTTTAGTGAATTAGAATGTCGTGAAATGACAACTGATAAACATCTTTTGATCGAAATTTAAAAGTACAAGACATGATACGTACGATATTTCTAACTTTGAAGTAAGGTTTGTATATGAAATTGAGAAAAAAAACATTCCTGAAAATTAGTACAAACACAACAGAATCAATATCTTGAACCTATTACACTAAAAATAGGCGTGGCGTAAAACATTGAGTGAATTCTGAAATATGCACGATTCATCGCTGTGATAAGTCCTTGAGTTGTTTTTACCCCAACGTTTTCGTGTTACACGTTCTTACGTGGAGTTTTAGGGTTCATTAGTTTAATGAATCTGGAAGAGCAGCGGTAATAAGGACTTATCAAGTTGCTTCAGATTTTCAAGTAAAGTTTAAAAACTGCCGCGGAGACGCTTGCGTTATTGGTACTTTATTTGATCTTCTACTCGAAGGAGGGAAAGCGTATTAATAGCTTGTTACAATGAACATTTTTGTACAAATTATTTGCAAAAGAGGGAGAATATTCTTGAGGTTAATGACTCGAAGGAGGGAAAGCGTATTAATAGCTTGTTACAATGAACATTTTTGTACAAATTATTTGCAAAAGAGGGAGAATATTCTTGAGGTTAATGACTCCAATCACATTTCAACTTCTAAATGATTAAATGGTAAGAGAGAAATACTAAAAGGTTATATGGTACAGAGGTAACTGTATAATCACATTTCAACTTCTAAATGATTAAATGGTAAGAGAGAAATACTAAAAGGTTATATGGTACAGAGGTAACTGTATAATCACATTTCAACTTCTAAATGATTAAATGGTAAGAGAGAAATACTAAAAGGTTATATGGTACAGAGGTAACTGCATATGTTTGTTGTATTTTATCAACTTTAGACTACAGAAAACTGAGTACCCGTATTTTTAAATTAGATCACCATTTAATATTTCTTTGTATTATCATTAAACACTGAATTTACATGTGTGAGATATTTTCAATTAAATAACCATTTTCTATCTAACGTAGTTTATGTTATTTAAAGTGTAAAGATAATAAGTGAGAGGGTTACAGATACGTTTTCAATTTGCACGTGCAACAGGATTTTTTAATGACATCTGATGCGGCACATGAAATAAACAGATACCTCTATAAGTTTCGGGTAGAACCATTTCCATTTTTGAAATACTGACAAGAGGGAGGTCAGCAAGCAACAGCATCCGTTTTATAGGTTTTTTGAACTGATTATAGGAATTAATTGTCACTTTTTGTCAACAACAATTTAATTGTCAACGACGGTTTATTAACAACTGATTAAGTTCTGTATACTTCTGTTAACTTCCGTGAATTCAAAGTTGAAAATACAACAATACACAGCATATTCATTACAACACATCACATACAGAAAGAACCATCTCTGCTGTTTATCTACATTAACTTTATGTTCTTAATATGTCAGATATAGATACCACAACCTATAGATTTAGAATGTTCAATCTTAACATCACCTTATATGACACGTGGGCTAAACAACTAAGTCTGACACTCGTTTAGGCATAGTCAACACTAATATATAATTGTTTGATCAAACAGGGAAACCAATCGGTAGCACTCGCTGCTATGTGTTAACCCTAACAGAATAGCAGGATTAAACATCACGGTTATAATGTGCTACACAGCTGAAAATATCGACCGAATTCAGCAGCTAGGGCGGCTCGAACCTTGCACTCACATATAAGGAGAGACCTCTCAGGAAAAAAAATCACCAAGTAACATATATTTCTCTCTGAAATACTCCTTCTCCTGATAAGAGATTTTGTTACAAAGCACGGAAGGAGTTCAAGTAAAAAAAACCAATGGTGAAACGAGATGGCTAATTTCGCTTTGCCAGTTCGTGATAAAAGTTTAAGTTCTGAAGAGGATGCGGGAAAGGAAGATGATAACAGGCTATGAGAATGAAAGAACTTGAGTTAAGGAGAAACCGAAGACAACAATAAATAAATACGTAGAGAACAATCAGGATACAAGAAAGGCAGAATTAAAAAAAAATATATATCGTCATACTGGCTCGTGTGGGATACGTAGTTCGTTTTTCAAAATAACAAGCAACTAATTTTTGTTCCCCTTCGTGAATTAATTCGTTTTATTTCACAACTGATGAGAACTAAAAGTTAAAAAAGCATGATTCCTTGACCAAGATCGATTGAAAAGGAAACGTTGACATTTACTTAATTAGAAAACGTACATCGTGTATGTTAAATCTGTCAACTGTACACTGGAATACGCTTACATTACTTGGCAAACGTATCGAGACTTTTTTTTTTGACAACTAATTTTACGAAAAGAAATCGTCAGGTAAGTTTAACCACAAACTGTTTT